CACTGACTGCCGGAATGCGTTTCATCTCTCATTACTTCTTCAACATTTCGCTGACTTAATTAGCCATTCCAGCTAATAAGCACCAATAGCGCACCGCTTCGAATTATTTGTGTAATGAAGCTCGAGGTAATTTAGCTCTCAAAATTTAACCCGAACGGATCCAGTTTGATATTATATTTAAATGTCTTCATACACTTTTCAAGAACTTTCGATGGAGATACGCTGTTATAATTGGACTGATAAGGAAGGTTACAGAATTTCTACATCCATTTGACCCTTTTCCGATTGAATTGTTAATTATTCTTTGAGTGACGGAGAATTTACGAAATAATTAAGTAATTACAACTAGTAAAAGCTTTTGATCATAACAAATATACGTTTGACTAAAGTATTAATGATGTTTATCATAAATTTATACAAGGAAACAGTTCAAAATAATAGAAATATACACTAAAACTGATATAAATAATCTAAATTTTGTGTTTTGTACCATGTTTACTAAATAAGTGTTATGTAAAATGCAGATTTGCTGAAAAGTCCTATCATTTACAATAATTATTATTATAAAGTTCAACAATTTCTCATAAACATTCCACAGTCGATATTATGTATCTAAAACAAGTTAATCTTCTAGATAATGTTGCCATGCCTTTACTTAATTTCAGACGTTTCGCTTAGCTCACCAGTTGGCATTTCAGTGTGTTTCGTATCATTCAGCCGTTGACACTGAAGATGACACAAGCTAAATGTAGTGAAACCATTGCGGTTAAACAAAGGGCACGGCAGTACTACCCAGAAGCTGTAAATGACTATATTTTGATACCTAACCTTTTGTGGTTCATCTTAAAATTTTAAATTGCATTACATTGCTTTGATTTCCACTGTCAATGTCGTCGATGAAATCTTTTATATGTAGGTAGATACGTTCATATTATGGCTGCACAGTTGTCAGATTTCATTTTTAAAAGAAAATTTAAATTTGGTCTATCAATGTCAGTAATCTGTAGCGAAAACGAATTTATTTATATTACAATAGAATTGCAAACTGAACGAAATCTTCATCTCAAAAGAAATCTAAACCCTAAAATAATTCCACTGAGAATCGGTGATTTATTAAGGCGCAAAACAGAAAATATAGTTGGGACGATCAAAACTGGCAAAGTCCGCAGAGGATAGACATATCTTCTTTCTTGTTTTGACTTGGGAGCGTGGTCATTTGCTGCGTTTTGAACACGCCCTCAAGTTAGGAAATGCTTCATGAGTAAGTAGTAAAAAGTAAAAAGAGATAACCGAATAATAGTAAGCAGAGCAGCGCTTAGAGGTTGCTCAGGTACACAAAAGTTCAGGGTCGACTTTACAACTATCTAGTTGGAATTATATCTTTGCTTTCCTAAATTCCTGAGAATGTTGAACTTTCTTTAAAGTCCTACCAGGCAACATGCTAAAATCCTTCTTGTCTACATCTCTTTCTGTTACACATCAATTAGTGTAATGTTATTCGTTTTTCTTTATCAGTGTCCGTTGCTATTCCTACCTGACATCTCCTTTCTATGTTTACGATATTCCCTTGTTGGGAATAAAAATAGGCGTTCTGTCAACAACCGCTCTTGTCTAATTAGTAAGTAGAAAGAAAATGCGACAGTTTTATTGCGGACCATGTCAATTGCGAACGCAGCAACTATACAAGATATCTGCGTATTGTATGAAAATGTGGTTACAGTCAATGGTGTTTCTATCAAAAGATCTATTGTCACTATTTCAATTTGGAACATTCCGTTAACGTAATTTGTATACTCACACAACACGTGTGCAAGACAAGCGAACGCAATCGCTTATTCGAAACCGCCCCCGTCGCCGCGACACTGGCGGCGAAATTGGAGTACATGGTGTAAGTTATCGCGAACACGAATTAATTTACTCCCGTTTGGCCCCCAGATACCATCGTTCATTTGCATATGTATCTAGATAGTCGACACGAATCTAAGCCCAATTTATTGAATTGTTCTGAAGTGGAGGATCATAAACTTTCCGAATTGAAGTAACTCAATGAGTATGCAAAGAGCGTCGGTACAGCACAGTGCACTACATTCTGCCCCCTTCCACCACTAGACTCCTTCAAGCTGGCTGGCGGAAGGAGTAAGTGGCGGAGAGAGGGCGGCTGAGGAAGAGGTTAGTGCTCCCCCGTATTCTCGTTCGCCTAATCCTCCCCTCCCCCTCGAATGAATAATTATCATGGAAAAGTTGGACGGACGGCCGTACGGCTCTCGGGTCGTTGCCAGAACGAACGTTTTACACTTTTAAACTACCGGTCGAAATTGTTTGTTCTGAATACATTTGCTTTATTTAATTAACTCTTTGGTGCACCCATTCTTTCTACCGCAGTCATAAAAGTTTTGAAATAATAACACAGAGCACACTGTCGACCGACCGACGGACGTGCCGAGGGGTGGTAACATGGACGTTCCGGATCGGAAAAACTTGCCAAAACAACCCAACAGGCGCACATTTTAAATCACACAATATGATACCACTTCGATGAAACTTCGGACTACCCTCTACCGCAATATTTCAGGATAAATTTACAAAATTGAAGCCGCTCTGGAGAATGTCACTACGTGAGCAGTTCTCGTTATGTGATCTAGCAGGTTAACATGCTTATTATTAACCACAGACGTGAAATAATGTACCTCAAACTCAACGAAGTGCGAATCATTCAGTGTTATGACAAAATTCATGTCAGTACCACAGTTTATTCTAAACAGTGACTGAGGGTCCGTCTGATTAATCATTATTTTGAGAAAATGGATAATCAAAATCCTATATTACCAACTCATACAAAGGAAAATTTGTCAGCTTTTGGTCAATCCTCACCATGTTAGTTTAAATTATTTTTTAGTAGATCATCTAATTCATATTCAAGGACATAATCAATTGTATGCAAATTCAGGATACATCCGATTCAACAGGGGTTTGACTACGCAGCTCCACAGAAGAATGATTATATGAAATCTAATTTGAGTGTTTGTTCACATCAAATACTTTCAAATTGGTCAAAGTTTGATACTTTTCCAGATTTGTTGTTAAACCATTTATCGGTAGCCTATTGTAGAATACTTACTTTTTTTAAACAAATTTTAGTCCAAACGTGATTTTCAAGGTTTCAACTGTCATGGTGCTAGTGAATGTAGAAGGGTGCATTCTTAAGTTCGCGGAATGGGTAGGTAGGCCATTAGTGAGGGTACTTACTGGAGTCAATACGAATCAACCAACTCATTATTAATATAAATACCAAGTTTTGTCGTAATTAGGTCGATAGTCTTTGAACTATCGTCAACCAAACAAGTCAATCGGGAACAAATTGTTAAATATGGAAAAAATCAAGTGCCGCGCTGTTACCAAGCAAGGAAAATCAGTTCAAGCCATACTGGAAGAGATTTCATCCGTTTACGGGGACTGTTTCAGGGTAAAACCATGGTTTACAAGTGGCATACCCTCTTCAAGCAAGGCAGGAACTCACTTGAAGACAACCCACGGCCAGGCCAGCCGATCTAAGTGACCACTCCGGAAATTATTCAAAAAGTCGAAAATAAATACTGGAACATGCCCGACTTAATAACAAACAGCTCGCAGAAATGGTAGGAGTATCAGATACAACCATTTTTAAAATTCTTCACGATCATCTTGGAATGATTAAAGTCAGGGTGCCGAGAATGCTCATTCCGTCTCAAAAACAACAGCCAGTGGAGTGTTCTTACGCGTTTTTGGACTTCTGTAGTGAAGATAAAGTTAGAGTATTGACTCTAATTGTTACTGCGGACGAAACTTATCCAAACAGGGCTCTATGCAGTGGTACAAAAAGGCACACCACTACACAGGAAGTTTAAGGTGTCAGAGTCGATTGGGAAAATCATGACGACAGTCTTTTGGGACTCAGAAGGGATCCTGTTGATCGATTATAATGATAAAGGTGTCTCCATAACCGGAGAATACTATGCTTCAATCCTAGAGCAGTTAAAGGAAGCAGTCAAAGAAAAAAGAGGAGGAAAATTAACCAAAGGTGTTCTCCTTCTGCAAGACAACGCGGCTGTTCACAAGAGCCGTGTTGCCATGGCTGCCCTGCAGAAAGTGGGCTTCGAAATTTTGGCTCACCCACCCTACAATCCTAATGTAGCTCCCAGCGATTATTATCTATTCCCAAACTTGAAAAAAGTCTTGGAAGAAATTTTCAAGCGACGAAGAAGTGAAGGACCTTTTTTTCGAAGGTATACGTAAGTTAATTGAAAGATCGGAAAAATGTATAAATATAGCAGATGAATATATTGAAAAGGAAAAATAAATTCGTACTTTTATTTCCACTTCTTACCCCCCCATTCCGCGAACTTAAAAACACTCCCTCGTAAAATCTTTCAAATCAAGAAAGAAACACGTATCCAATAAATTTTCGTTTTACCTTCAATTTTTAAAACGTACCTATAAACGATTAGGTATAATCATTTTCCGTACTAAAACAAGAGATTTAAATTCAACGGCGTTGAATCCTAGCCGCGTCAAATGTTTAAAAACCTGCCAAGGGCGTTTGTTTCTAGAAACAATTACCGAACGTTTACTTCAAAGTCATCACTGGCTATCTCTCCACGAGTAGATTAATTAAAACGAAAACGCGAAGGATTTAACATCAACTTTAATATTCATTGAAGTTTCTAAATCACATTTTATGCCATAAAACAGTAAAGTTATGACAAACTGTAAAGTACATAGGTACATGGGTAATACGTGTGAGCTAGACGTCCCAAACGACGCAATCTCGTTTAACTTGATAACAAACTTAGCTTGCAACAGCAATTTAAACCAAAGACTACGTCAGAATTTATTATGAAATGTACCAAATGCAGGCTGAACCTCCTAGTCTACATTACCTGCTGTTACGTTTACATTTATAACGACCACAACGATGTTGATATTAATAACAACAATAATAATAATAATAGTAATGTTTTAAGACTGCAGGTTGGATATTTCCCCATGGAGCAAAACTTCAAACGCGCTGTAGGGAGCTGGGACTGTACAAGCTGCTGGGATCGGCGAGCCCGAAGTGTCAAAACGGCGCTTGGACTCATAAATTGCCCTCCTGTGTTCCGACGACTTTGCTAACAAACTTTACAGGTAAGAAAGTTTCGTTACACGTAGTTATGTATAGTAAACGCTAGGGATCGCTTATTATCACTCTTATAAATGCTAAATCGAGAATTTTAAGTCAAACCCTAAAAAAGAATGTAGAATATATGTAGATACAGATTGCTAATTAAACTTACGAAAAAAATTAATGGTGTTATTTTCAAGGTTATTCTAAGAATATTTTGCACTTTGGTGGTTCTTAAAAAATGGCAAAAAAATTGGCATGCTTACATTTATTTATTTATTATTTAATGATATATATATTTACTGATATAGCAGAATTAGTAGATATCTAAAAACCAGAACGAAGAGAGCTTTAATACATACTGACTTTAGATAGGGTCTATTAAAGAAGACGTTACTACGTGTCGGATTACACCCTGCAATTATCCAGTTTCCCAATAAGTCTTCCACATTTTCTAAAGAAGTAGTGTAGAGTAATGACTCCACATGGCCGCATAACAAATAATCCACAGGGTTTAAATCCGCGGATTTCCATGTATATGTAGGTTGCTGTAAGAGACTCAAAAGAAAAACTTCAGTTACTAATGGTGGAAAGCGAATCGTTGGAATGAGTAACTGGTGGTTGGAGTACGAAAGATGAATCGGTCGAAATGAAGACAGGAAAGCGTAAAAGATTATCTGTGAAATATTAATGCTCCAGCATTTACCTAAGTAACCCAAAAAACCTCAGCAAAAACCTGCACCATGGCAGGTGGACCCGGAAACGAACTGATGTCCTCCCTAATGTTAAGCAATGGTCTAAATCTCTAAAAACTCAGTGTAGTAGCCTATAGGTCTTTAATATTAGCAGCATCAATACTTTATGTGATTTCAAAAATAGTTTTGTCGAAAAACATGGTGAATCTCCACCATCAATGGACAAAATATTCTTAGAATAATCAAGGAAATAAGTTTTGCCATTTAAAAAGCGCCGTTTATAGTTACGCTTTGTCAAATGTACAATGGATGCCTAAGTACTTTGAAGAGGTTAATTTTGAGTTTAGATTACCACCTTTAAAATGGATTAGAATGATTGATGTTAACTTATGTTAGGTTATGGTTTGAATTTGAGCCTATGGTACCGTAATTTATAGGAGAACATTGGACATTCCTACGTTTCAAAGTGCTGTGTCATTTTTTCTTATTTAAGGAGCGTCTTAATTTTTAATATTTCAATTTTCTTTCATGTCATGTCAAAGGTTATATTCTCAGGGTGCCTTTCATAAGAGACATCTGTTATTACTTGTAGGTATACCAGGTTTGAAATAGTTTTTGAGTTTATTCAGGTCTTTGTGAAGCTAGTTCGGTTTATTTTAAAGTGCATTTAACTCACATGCCTCTCTCTATAATGTACGTAGTTTCAAACAGAAAGGTAAAAAGTTAATTTCCCTGTAAAGATTAAAAGGAACAACAAACTGCCGGACCTCATTCCGAACTAAACTTTTTGTACGTTTGTTTTTACGTGGGACTTGATAGCCCTTTTGTTTGTGGCTTCATTATTGCGGTCATGAGTTTAAATTAAATAACAAGCATTCAATTTTTAGCAAATTTTCCCGTTTTACCAACACCATTAGATGAAATGATATACCTATTATTGAACTTCTTCCTCATTTTAACATTCAATCCTGTTTTGATGTTAACCCTGATTCCGACCTGACCCTGGTTGTCATTCCATTGTTTTTTTCCAAGAAATTTTTAGCAACACTACATTACTGGAAAACCTAGAAATGTCAGGGAATTCTAAACTTTCTGAAACAGTCAGTGACAAGTCAGCAAATTTTACCAGAAGTCTGGTAAAATTGATTTTTATAATTTTGTTGATTTAGGGATCTGAAACTATAGGGTTGTTCGGAATGTCATTTCGTTTTTTCCCGACAGAGGATTTAATTGTATTCTTTTGCACCCAACTTCACATTTAAGCCGTATAATTTTTATATGCTTTGAGAGCTCATATAGCAAGGCTTGTGTGTGAAAAATTCCAATTAATTCTACGCAGTAGTTTTTGGTTGGTGCCCTTTTAAATATGGAGAGCGATAAGCAGCATTTTCGACATATCTTACTGTTTTACTACAGATTGACTGATGTGTATGGAGAAGGTGTGTTGACAGTACGCCAGTGCCAGAACTGGTTCGCTAAATTTCGATCAGGCAATTTTGATGTCGAAGATGCACCACGTTCGGGAAGGCCGGTTGAAGCTGATAAAGACGCGATGTGAACCGGCGAATAACAACACGTGAGATCGGATTGAAGTTAAATTTATCAAATTCAACAGTTTATGACCACTTGAAAGGCCTGGGATTATCCTCAAAGCTCGATGTATGGGTTCCCCATGTTCTCACACAGAGAAATCTGTGTCGCCGCATTGACGTCTGCGATTCGCTTCTCAAACGTCACGAAAATGATCTGTTTTTGAAGCGCATCATCACTGGGGACGAAAAATGGGTTGTATACAACAACGTCAAACGCAAGAAGTCATGGAGCAAAAAAGATGAACCGGCTCAAACCATTTCCAAAGCCGATATTCACCAAAAAAAGGTGATGCTGTCTGTTTGGTGAGATTTTAAAGGAATCGTTTTTTTTTAGCTTTTACCGGATGTAGTGTTTCACCAAGACAACGAGAGACCTCACACAAGTTTGGTCACTCGCCAAAAGCTTTTACAGCTTGAATGGGATACAATGCTACACCCACCATATTCTCCAGACCTGGCACCATCTGATTATTAGTTGTTCCGGTTACTCCAAAATTTTTTAGGCGGTAAAACCTTCACCTCAAATGAGGACGTCAAAAACCTCCTCGATCAGTTTTTTGCCAGCAAAGGCCAAAAATTTTATGAGCGTGGAATTATGCTACTACCAGGAAGATGGTAAAAGGTGTTGGACCAGAACGGTCAATATATAATGTAATAAAGTATTTGTTTATTATACGAAAACTGTCTTTCATTTCCACAAAAAAAAAAAAACGAAATAACTTTCCGAACAACCCTATAAAATCAATTTTTCACTTGTTTTAAGAAATGGCGCTGATACGATTATCATCTCATGTAGCGCACCATATATTATCATCTGTTTTACCAACCAGTATAGTGTACGTAACAGCGTGTGTTTAAAAATCTGTGGCCGCCATGCATCAAATTTTATTATCCTTGTTAGTTGTTGATATAAAACTCGCAACTAATCGGAGGTACTACTCTGCATAAAAGAAACGACAAACGTACACAATACAGGCGACTTCAGGGCTTGTTCTCACCAGCACGCAATAGACACTTCCCTTAGAGTACCAACCAACCTAAACAGCGAGAATAATAAACAATCACATACTGCATAGTAAACGCCATCTGCGGAGATTAACCACTAATTATGTGTTCGTTAATGTTTACTCCCTGAACTTACCACAGTGTGTTGATGAGAGCCAATGAGTTAAAAATTACGACAGTTTCGATAGTGTCACGCAATGTGGATTCAGTTTGAAAAATCAATATTCTTGTCAAACAATTCGTGACAAATCTCCTTAAGTGGCGTTTACTACTCTATGTTTAATCAGTTGAAAATATGCTTGTGTACTTTTCGTTATTTGAAGATGACCTTTTATCGGACACCCATCCTTTTTGCTACAAGAAATCAATTAAGAAGTTTTTAAATTGTTTTACCCTGTACAACATCAACTTAAAATCCTTTAGCCCTTGGCAACTTTACACCTTGCACGTGCCCTATCGCGTCACGCTTAGCGAGGATAATTCCGGTACATGAAAGTTAACTCTTGTCTCTTGAATACTGTCGTAACTCCGTTACGTTGAGCTGAAATCCAATTTCTTTCCTCGACAAACCCATTCCTCGGGGACAAACAGGTGCATTCTACAACCGGAATAATTGATATGTCAATTTTACTAGCTGTAAGACAATGTCTGTCTAAATAGATATATGCATCTCCTCTCCGAAATGTCGCTTCCACTTTCGAAGCAGTTTACAAAACTCCCAGACTAATGTACTAACAGAGATATAATCAGAAAACCGTAAAATTGAAGACACACAAGAAGAAAAATGCTTTTATTAATTTATAAAGGAATGTGAATAAAAATTTTGCTAGTTCATCAAAAGCTAGCACCATTAGAAGTGAAATTGTCAGAAACAAAAAGTTTGTTCATATAAAAATATTCTTTTCAAAACCATTGATGCGGCATCGTAGCGCAACGAGAAGAGGGAAAGGGTTTTGCGTCGAATCGCAGAAACGCGAAGAAACTCAGTCTCGACACGTTGAATAGACAAGATGTACAGTATAACTATTAGAATTAAGAGAATTTACGTTAAGTTGTTTTGTCAGAATAATGTTTGAACAAAATAATTCGAAGTGGTCTTTTTGGATCTCATCAGCGCGTCGCAGGCAGCTCCGACAGAACACAGACCAACCTTTACCTGCTCTCTTAACAGCGTGTTTTAGAAAATACCACAAATGGCGTGGTGAGCGCCATCTGTAGTACGATGCTACATTTTAGGATTTTTAAATGGACCTTGCTGGAGCATACGTAATCCTAAAATGTAGCATCGTACTACAGATGGCGCTCACCACGTCATTTGTGGTATTTTCTAATGTTTGAGTTCATTTTTTTTTTGCAATAAAGTTGCTATATATTATCGTCACGAGTTTCCCTAATAGTTAGGGTGGTCCTTCGAATAAAAGGAAAAAGTACACGACAACAAAAAACAATAAGAAAAACTACTTATAACAAGTATTATTTGTGATACTGTACAAAATCTCGAATTAAACATTATAGAGGTATACAAGGCCGTAGCCAGGGGTATGCCAGGGCAAGCTCAGCCTGGCCTAGGATATTAGATGTTATTGTTACAATAAATGTACTTAACAACTTCAAATGCAACTCCGTGCCAATTTTAGGTAAGCTTAGGACATACATTCATATATGCAATAAATTTTTTAATATCCCACCTGAATATTTCGTCGATATAAACAATGATTCATCAGAATTAAG